TTTTTTTTTCTGCGCGGCGCGGAATGTCGGACACGAAAAAAAAAATATATGGGCGTGTAGGGCTTTTTCAGCCCTACACGCCCATATATATATATTTTTTTTTCCGACGTGAAAAAGCGCAAAAACAAATGTTGCACCGAACTCGGCTGGTCGGCCGAGGCCGAACACGACCGATTTGGCTGATGGCCGCGGCCGCGGCCGACTAGACCCCCCCGGCTGCGGCCGGGCGTGCAACATAGGTCATGACAAAAGGAGTAAGGGTCTTTAGGACCTTATCACACACCGTAGCCGGGACGGTCAGGAAGGTGGATGCAGCATTTGTTAACCATCTGAACGTACCTTTATGTTGCTTGAAAATGGCTATGATGTAGGGGACTTCACTGTTCTTAAGCTGCAAAGGTGGTAGTATGGTGGACAGGGATTCCGTTGCTTCTTCAATAACCTACTGGGCAGAGTTCGTGCAGATACAGAAGTCAGGGCAGTTTAGTCTCTCCAAGGCAAGTGCTCTGATGAGGTTTTTACAGACGAAGAACGGGGTGTTAGAGGCTTTGTCAGTACCCGCGACGAACAGTGATGAGGAGAGGAACTCTATTTTTGACCTGATCTGTGGATCATCCATAACTTTCCGTGTCCGGCATGTGTTTTGGGAATGCCGCTGTCGAAGCATACCGTTCAACTTTTCCATGACCTCCATGGTAATTTTACTGACCAAAGCCGGCGGGATAAAGACCCTACTAGTCAGCCACTTCATGACCTTTTGTACCACCCCTTCGTATTTCTTCAGGGCTGTACTAGGGCAAAGAGGGAGTGGAGGGATGTGGTTCAACCCTAAGCTAAGGAGTCTCTCGACTTCTGGGGTAGATGCAATCCTGGGGTTGAGGGTCAAGACATGAGAGGAGGGGACCGGTGTAGGTTGTGTCATGCTCACAGTAATGTGACAGTGAAAAGGGGAGAACCTGTTGGACGTACAAGGACACGTTCCGGCTCTCGTCATGGTCTCACACCAATCGCGTAGATGGAAGTTCTTAAACACCTGCGCTGGTCTGTAGACGGTTTTGGAAATGACATCTTCATACACCCATCCAAACATCACTCCCGAAAAAATCGAAAGCATCGAGATACTGACATAGCACTGAAGAACCGATACCATAACCAATCTAAGGTTAACCCTCTCCATGATCCTGTTTACATAGCGGATATGGAAGTATACTTCCTTCACTTGAGAGCTCCTACTTGATTCCCATCTCAACCTGCCCGAAGGTCCTGGCACCAAGGATCCCCTTGTGTTCTGCACAAAAAGCAAACAAAATACCTGATGAGCGTTTATGTAGCCTTGAACTTGGAGAGCAAAGCAAGTCTGGGGCTCCCCTTGTGTTCTGCACAAAAAGTCTTGGGGAACTTCTTGTTTGCCCATTTCTGTCCCTGCAAAATTGCGGCAGAGTTTTTCGATGGATTCTCGATAACGGTTGTAGCCAGGGTCATCATGATCTCACGCATATGCGGGAAGGTGATAGATGCACGAATTAAGGGTCTCCAACTATCGGAAGGACAACCAAGCATGTTCTTCACCCTCGCCCTCAACGTAGGTCCAGCTGGGAAAAATTCATCTACTTAAGCAAAAACGTACCACAGGAGGTGGTTGAACCACGCTGGACTGGCTCCATAGTCTGTGTCCGAGACTAGCGTGCATTTGCACTTAAAGTACAGGCGGCCATAGTTCCAGATCTTCTTGAGCTCATTCATTGCATTCGGATTCCTGGGAGGGGCATTGCCCTTCATCGCGATGAACGGTTCTGGGCGTGGACATTTGGACGGGCCGATCTCCTGCATCGGAGGAAAGTTGACCCTGTCGGTTTTAAAAGGCAACTTTACATTAGGTAGCTCCAAGATATCATCTAACGCTCTCTTACGACAATCCTTCAGTTCTGCTTCCGTAACCTTGGCTACGAAGCGGAAGCCAGAAATACCGAAAGGTGCGCAGTGGTTAAACGTATCTAGAGACCAAAGACGATTCTGAAAAGCAAGACTCATCGACTCCACCCATCTAGACGACGCGAGTGGCAAGAACGCATTCCTCGTGAACAACGATACCTCCACCCTCTTCTCTGACTTATTGAGCGCTGCCTTTGCTAACATTCTCTCCTCCTTCTGTTTCCTCAAGAATCCCTTCTCCTCCTCCGTCATCTCATCATCCTCTTCATCATCCAATATAAACTCCTTCTTTCTCTCAATGTTGATGTCTCGGGCATGTTTCCTGTGATATTCGGATTGTGCACCCCAGAGTCGAACGAAAACGTTTTCTAGGTCAAGAGACGTCTGCTCGATCGTTTTATCCTCATGTAGGCACTCCTCCCTGATTCGGGGGATGTTCGCGACCTTCTCATTGACAAGATCGATCACAAAGTTTTTGTCGTGCTTGTGGGTCCAAAGGAGGTCACACCAGTCCGAAAACGACAAGTACCGGATCAGTGGGAAGGAGTCGGTTAGGGTAGGGATTGACCTATTCCTAACCAAGATCATTTCATCCCGGGGCGCAATAGCTATCAAGGATTGGATCGGGGCAGGGACAGGAGGGAATGCAGTGAACCACTCTCTTTCCCCCGTAATGAGTTCCTGACACCACCTGATCGTGAATACCCGGCCCTGAAAAAACACAGGACAACATATGGAGTTGTTTCCAAAAACAACGTGGGCACCATGAAGCAAAACCCTAAGTATAAAAAGCGAGATCCTTAAAAGACCAATGCACAGGGGAGGTGGCCCGACTGTGATAAGGGGTTTCATCTCTTAGGGGGACCCCGCAAAGGGTTACTTACCCTAGGGGGGTGTGTGTGTGGAGAGTATATAAATATCACCCCAGCGACCAAGCTTCACATCAGACAGGCCTCTAGTGTACTCCACATAGCATGACATCTTATGAAACCACCCAATCCTACAGCTTAGACATGTCACCAAAAAGCGCGTTTTCAAAAAAAAAAGAACACGAACGAATAGGCACTAAGATCATCAGGTAGGGGAGGGGGGTCACCATTCATTGCAACTAGAGAGGGTAGCGACGAAAAACATTACGAACGTGCTCCAATAGAGATAAATGGTGTTTCAATTACGGAAGGCAAAACCGAAACATTCTTTTCATAGACATTTCATTCGAGAGTACGAATTGGATTATGGTAGAATTAATCCCAAAAGGAAATATTCATCGTAAACACTCATAGAGCTTGTTGCCACGAAAAACACTTCAGAAAGTCAAATAAGATCGTCGAGAACATCCGTCCCATAAATTCCTCAGAGAACGCTAAGTGAAGATACCCTCGTTCTTTTGAGAACTCGTAATTACGAAACCAATCCCATTACCAATCAACACAAAGTTTCGGTAGGAAGATTCCCCTCAAACTCCTAGGGGCTATTTACACACGAACCATGCACAGTGGTAGAATTTAAAACGCTTGGAGTAGGAATTTATTCCACGTAATCACAGACTCTACCGAAATGCCAACACCGCAGAGTTTCACTTCTCCATCCCAAAGTTGCCCATCCACTACAATCGTCGTCACTCCACGTTACGTCAACACCCAAATGCTACCACCATCTATCTCACAAGCCCATCCTATCTGGCTCCATTCGGGGTGGGGGGCCCATCAAAGTACAGATGGCACATTTATGTACAGGTATGAACAGGACAGTTACCCCATCCATGAGCACCCATTACTGCTCCCTCATAAGTCTCAGAAACGCCTGGATCACCCACTTGAGTAACTCAACAACCACATGACTATGAATCCCCCCCGGCGGCGGACAGGCGCGGCCAAGTCCGCGGCCGTGGCCAGTCCGCGAAGTCCGCGCGGACGCGCGGATTCGCGGACACGTGGCGACCGCAGGGGAGGGGGTTTCACAAATCTGGCGGCGCCACGTGGCGGCGCATCCCCTGCCCCACCCCCCCACACAAAAAAAAAACGAAAAA